TCTCTTACATAACCATACAAACAGCAGTTTAGCATCATTATCTGATGTAAGCATGGTTTTTTAACCATCTGGAGAAGGGTATCCCAGGGAAGGGAAGGCAGGAACCTCCAGTGCTGTGTCCTCTCATTTCAATTAATGTACACATTGACTGGATGAAAAGTTTTCCCCAAATGCATCTTTTTCCCATCCAAAAAGCATTTTGATGAATTTTAGGCTGTTTAGCCACTTCTCCCCAGCACAGAGCTGGCTGCAACTACCTGTCTGCACGTAATAAAATGACACATTTAGGATGCAACAAATTTCTTACATGTGTGTCCTACTCTGCAAATATCCCTGGCCTTGCTGTTTGTGCATTAACACAACGTACATGGACAGCATCATCTGGCCAAAAACTGTGCCCAGAGGCAAATATTTTCCTTCTGTTAAGTTTCCCAACTGCTCCTCAGGGCACCATCACTTCTAGACTGAAGTTTGGGGCATGGCCTGGAGAGAGAGTTTGGGATGCTGCTGGGAAAAGGGCAGCTCAGCCGATCTAAGCTGAAAAACACAATTTCATGCTCTTGACCCACTCTGTCCACGGCTTTTTAATTGAAGGGGCAAGAAGGCCTTGGGGAGTGGGGGAGGGAGGAGAAAGAAAACTGAACTTCAGGCAGGATGGGGGGCGGCAGCAGCGGCATTTCCCTGCCATCTGGCAGCCAGCTTTCTGTGAAAAGCAGGGTTATATTTTTTAATTTCTGTCTCTGAGCACTTCTCAGTCCCCCTGTCCTGCTCTGCCCTGGCCCTTGGGTGCAGCGCTGGTGAGGCAGCCGAGCTGTTGGTGCCGGCCCTGACCCCGTGGCTCCAGGCAGCGGGTGCCAGGTGGGAGCTGCAGCAGTGGCGAGTCCAGCACTGACACGCTCGGAGGTGCTGCTGGTGCAGCACAGCACAGGCATTGCAATAAAAAGCTTCACAGGAGACCAGCTAAGAGAGAGAGAGAACTTCCCTGTAAGCAGCTGGCCCCTGAAATCTTTTCCTTCAACACAGAATTTCAGATGCAAATAACTATTGCCATCTACTGGAAACAGACTTGTGGAGCCTCAACCAGGCACCACAGCATCAGGCCAAGAGACACAAAACCCCTTCCACCATGGGGAAGGGGAGAGCACGTCACTACAGGCCATTCCTTCCACAGTAATTGATTATACACAAACTACCAAAGGCCAACTTATAGGTAAGCAAAAAATAGTCATCCCAGGGTGTGGTGTCATCATCCAAGCCCTCACCACCACCCTGGCAGCACAGCAGCCAACTGTGCAAACAAGGCCCTTCCATACCTGCTGCTGCTCCTCCCACCCTCTCTCTCATGGTGTTTCCACAGCAGCTCCAGCACAAGAACATGGAGCACGGTCTCCTTTGCTCTGGAGTGTTGGCTGGTGCTTGACAACTCCGGAGTGCTCAGTGTACAGGTTAGTGAGACAATCCTACAGCGTTTCTCACCTTCCCAGTGTGGGAAGCTTTGCAGCCCACACCAGTGCCAGGTCATACAGGCCCTGTGCAGCCCCCACTACACGTTCCTTAGGCTTTACCTTTGAGGAAGGAAGACAGAAACATTGTCCAGGAAAACAAATATTCTGTAAATGCTCTGAACAACTTCTGCACAGCTCTATACAGTCAGGAGAGCAAACAGGGCTGTACCAGTAAGTGCTCCATAACGTTCATTAGCAAACAGTTTGATCAATAAAACTGATGAACCATAATTTGTTAAGTAAAAGAAGCTGGTCCAGACACTGTGAGATCATTAGGGTTTACCAAAATAAATAGTACCTGGAATACCTGACTGGAAGTCCACATGCAGCTGGATGGTCAAGGGCTCCTCAGACTCCTCTTGAGAGATCAGCTGGATTCTTGTCAACTGAGGGATGAAACTGCCACTGATGCAGATCTCCTACTGCCACTCTTCTGATCAATTACCCACATCAGGGAAAACCCCTCCTGCAATACATCCCTGTATATTAACACCAGTCAGAAAGCGTGGATTTCTGCACGTATCTAGAATGCTATTTATTCTGACAAAAAGCCGATTTAAAACAGCGTGTGCTTAGTGTTTGAAAATATCAATGGGCTTCCTTTTCCAAAACAAAACAAGAAAGCAAAAAACAATCATACCACAGAACTTGCAGTGGAAATGGGAAATAAAAGGCAGGAGGCTGAAAGGTAATATCCCTAAACAGATGCTCCTCCCTCCTAAGGATAAGAAGAGTGTCAATATGTTAAATAGTCCTTGGTGACTGTTAAGTAATCAGGATGTCTGCAAAAGAAACAGTTTCCATTGTCATCTAGTTCTCTGCTAGCTTTGATACAGATAAAAATCAATCCAAGTAACACATATGTACATTCCCTCGTGGAATGCTGCATTCTTTTCTGCACCTCAGTCTCCTCTCTCTCTGGGTATATCCTTATATACCTCATAAACACACATGTGCGTTGTACATGAAACTGTGTGAAAGGAGAAGGAGCCTACAGACTTTCCAGGGCCTGAAAAGTTATTTACTAGCAAAGTCTGACAATTCACAAACGAGGGAAGTTTTTATCCCCAGCTATCGGTCCAGACATTGAACACAAGAGAGCAAAACACTGAAAAACCCCAGAAAAATACACAAGGAAAAATGTGATTAAATCCTAGAAGCTCAAGTAGGGGACTCTGAGGTAATCAGAAACCTCAAACAGCATTCTATATACCTTGTGGACCTCAGTCTTTTGGTCATTCCTTCCTGAAAGTAAATATAAACACTGGCACCTTATTCAAAGAAAAATATGTTATTGTGGGTGTTGGATGAACCCATTCCAACCTCAAAGAGAAACATTCCTTTACAAATACAGCAAGAAATGGACTCTGATTCTACTAAATCCCACAGAAAAACCACATGACTACCAATGGCCTTCTGCAATTCAAACTAAAATAAAGCACGTTGTTCAAGAGAGTAGTCATCTTTCACAAGTTCACCTTCATAAGTCTAGTACTCAAGTATCTGGTAAAATGAGCAGGGAAGCTCCTACTATTTCTCTGAATGCTGAGTTTGTATAAGCAAATGAGAAATCCTGGGAATTTTCAGCAAATTTTCACCTCCAACTTGCTCTGCTGTATCTTGGTTCTCATCTCACACAAAATGTCAGCAAGTTCTAATATTGCAGTCAAACTAAAACATGCTAAAAAAAGCCATGTTTTTAGCACCTGGTAATATCAGGTAATGAAGAACAGCCAGGCTCATTAACTTTTCATTGTGAAATGGGATTTTTATCAGTGCCATAAAAACAAGCAAACAAAACCCCAAATGTCTTCTGTTACACTGACAGTTGCATTTGTTCACTGTACCTGCTAATCAGCAATTAATTTAACACCACCATAACTGGAATGGAATAATGGCTCCAGATGCTATGACGAAGGAAGTTTTCATTCCTTAAAAATGTATCTTTAGGAACAGCAGAGAAGAAAGGTGCCTCAGAGAAAACAAGATTCCCTGCCAACGTACAAACTGAAGCAATGATGCAACAAAAAATTTATGTGCACAACAGCCCAAGCTAAAAACTAAGCAGTACTTCAGGTATTCATAATTGCCTCCCTGCTTATCAATGGAGGTGAAAAAATAAGTATAAGGACTCTTCTAGACTCTATGAGCAAAATAAGACCTGGTTTTATACTTAAAACATGAATAGCTCTATCTTTCAATCACTGACTTTAAATGGTAAAGGACTGTTTTCACCTTTTCTGGTGTCTGGAATTCGGAAAGCTGCTATTAGCTAATGCTAACACAGGTAAACATCTCTGTGCTAAACAAAGGCTGTTTGCTGCTCTGGTGGATTTTTAAAATATTTGTGGCATAAACACCTCCTAAAATTCTTGTATGCTTCAATCCACTCCTCCTCTTTATCATTTTCCCTATTTCTGAATTCCCAAAACAAAAGCAGACCATGTTCCTGAACATGTTCCTCTTCTGTGTCTCAAAGTGGGGAGGGAAGAGAATTAAGTGCAAAGCACATCACTCCCAGCACCAATCTTGGAATCTGGGCACTAAGGTGTCTTCAAGGGCTTCAACTCACACATCAGTCTGAGACACACCTGCTCAATTCAACTACAGTTTCATTCCCTAATTCTTCGTTCTGTTATGCACAATTTCCCTGATTAGTAACACCACTTGAAAAGAAAATATCTGGTTCCTTTCTGCTTGGTCATGGAATCTGACACTAAACAACTTACTGAAAAATACAGCATTTTGGTACGAAATGCTCAAGAAAATTTGCCTGGACAAACATTTCATAGCACAAAAAAGCTCTGTCAATTCCAGCAACACAAGAGCATGGCAACCTCCCTGCAAGCAAAGCTTGATTACAACCTGGATATAAAAAATCTACAACTATTTATTTGTACATTATTATACATCATAAATAATTGTCATACAATTGTAAAAATAAAACCCCAGTGTAACTGCTGGTGGTTCTATATGGCTGCTTTTCTGTTTTTAAGTGTTTGGGGTTTGCTGGTTGATTGATCAACTTTAGGAGCATAAAACAGTTCTCTCTAACACAAGTCTAGATTAAGGAAGTTTTATCCCAGCACAAAAACACCCAATCCATAAAACCAGAAGAATAAACACAATCCTTGGTCTTTTCTTGTTTAAGCTAATCAGCCTAATTTATTATTTTCCTGTCACCAGTTTTTATCTCAGGTTTGAGCTAATTATTCATCCATTTCTGAAAGTAAAGAAGAACATACAAAAAGAAGAACAATAGTCCAGCAAGTACAAGTCACTCAATTTACTCACCAATCAGTTTTCTTTCAACCCTTCCAGAGTCCAAACACAAGAAGTGCACAAAAATCCTGGGTTAAGTGATGGAACTTTTTGAATAATTACTAAAAAGGAACTCTGTCTACATAGATCACTTTCAAATGATAATTAAAAGAAAATGATAAATGAAAAAACATTAAAGAACTTATGGCATTAGACGGAGGACCACGGGTGAAGTGGATTCCAGGTTACATTTTAATTAAGAAAACATTCATATATTTGTCAACATGAAACAAAACATTCCAAAATCTGGTACCTTACATATTCCACATCTAGTTTGCTAATATGCAATAGCATTATTATTACTTATTTAGCCTATTCCCTACTGCCTCACAAAGGCAAAACTGATTTTGGAAGTGAAAAGCTTGCATGATATGCAGAACACACATTCTATGCATTCTTCCATTAACATACTTTTGAATGAAGTTTTTTAATGCCACCAGTCAAATTCCCCAAAATTTGGTGTCCCTACATACATTTCACTCCACAATATGCTCCACTTTGCTCCTCTAGTCCCATACTCTTTTGTGCTCTTTTCAAGAAAATAAAAAAATAATTAAAAAAAAGTTCAACTGTCAAGTGAAAAATGTCCACAGGCATTTTACACTGATTTATTAAAAAAAAAAAAAAAAAAAAAAACAAAACCATCCAGACAGCTTCTTCTTTTGGAGAACAGCTTTACATTCCTGAGAGTGAAAAACCACTGGAACAAGACTTCCTCTAAATGTTCCAGGACTTGTCAGACATTGTAATCAGGGGACTTTCCCTGTGGTTGCCGCAGTCGGATTTGTAAGGTGGAAAACGCTCCCACAGTCACGTGAAAGAAGAGCTGCCACAGGTTGCGCAGTTCGTACAGATACATGTTACACAGGCAAATCAGCCCAAAGGTCAGGAAGGATTTGGCATTCCTCCAGCCCGTGTAGTACACAAACAGGTAACACTGTCAGGAAGTAAAGAAGAAATCAGATTACCTCGTGGCAAGTAACTTTCACTGAAGAAACCCTATGTGGTCACTGAGGAATTACAGACCAAAACAAGGAAAAGCCTAAATCAAACATGTAAGAACAGTATCAATTCAGCAGTCACGGGAGGGTGAAAGTACCTGACATCAATACAAGGTTACATTTTGCTTCCACTAAACCCTTTCTGAGAACAATTCTCCCATAATAATGCAACCTGCAACGAGAGGCCCATGACAAAACAAAGTGGATGTTTGTCGCAATCTCTGGTCAAAACACACTCTCAGTTCCACCCAAACAGCGGAGAAGGAACGAGAGTCACTTCAGTCTTCTTCAGGCAAAGCCCTGGGAAGGACAGAATTCATTCCCAGGCCCCTGCAGCTGGGAATGAATACTCAGCACAAGGCAATCCCCCAGATACCTCCCAGTGTTGTGCCAGGGGTAATGCCAGGGATTAACTGGCAGATGCAGAGGTCCACGAACACCCACTGCCCTGCTTCAGCTGCTGCAACATGGATCACATTTGGAGAGAAACACAATCCTACCACATTTTAAGGGTCTGTTTCTGCACGCTGTGGTGTGACACAGCATCAGGACTGCCCTCAGTCCCCTGCTCAGCCTTCCTCCTACTGCAGCTGGAAATCTGTTCAAGTCTCTAGCCTCAGTTCCCACCTCTAAAAGGACACAGCTTTTACAAACACATTATTTTTACTTCTTCTGTTGTTGAAACTACTTCCTGAACTGCTACTCACAAAAAATTCTTTGCTCCGTTCTGGATTCTGGATGTTTCTGTCTGCTGAAGAAAGTTTTTGATGTGCTTTAAAGGCAGATAACAACTGTATTTGGGCTTACTTTCTATTCCAAATGTGTTCCCAGTGGACTTATAACCATGGTCACACAAATTTAACAGCACTCAACATCAGATTATCTAAGTGTAATTTCTGTTCTACTTGGGCATTTGCCACATTTTATCAATCACAGAAACCCTACTTAATTTTTTTTTTTTCATTTTTGATGTTTCTCAAAAAAGGGCCAAAGCTTTGTACATTCAGAATTAAACAATGACATTACTGAGTTTCCTTTATATTCTGTTCAACTCAACCGCTTTGTTATAAAGCACACATTTCCACTGCAAGGGTGGCTGAGATCAACAAAGCTACTTGGAGTTTCTGGGTATCTAAATATCCTTGGAGAGGTGAGTACTGGCAGTATCAGTAAGATTTGTACGTCCTGTCTCAAAAGCAAAGTAAAACTAGAGATGAGTAATCCACATTTCAGAACCTAGACAGAATTGTTCTGAACCCACTTGGCCATTCTGAGCAGAGTAAATGCAACCCACTTGTGCTGACAGTTTCACAGATCACAGCTAAAAGAGCAATTAGTTGGTGTCAGTATCTCAGCAATAAGAATTCAGGTGATTTCCCAGCGTTGCGGCTTCCACTGAAATGTATGAAAAAGTGTAACTGCTTCCAAGATTAAAACAAAAGTCGGGATGTGCTTTACCAAAATGATTAATAAATATGAAGGGTTGAAAAAACAAAAATATTACAGAAGTTTAAAAATTTTACTGTGACACAATGTTGAATGACTGTGCATTTTACTGAAATAGTGTTTTAAATGGGTTGTTTTTCTACTACTAAAGCAAAATGTTATCATGGCAATTACTAAGCATGCTTTTATGTAGAAGGCTCCTCCATCCCACTTCAGAGATTTAGATTTTTGATACTAAATGTTGAGAGACGACTGAAGACTCAGTTCCTAAAGCTTTGCAGTTCAGGTACAACTGAGACAGTTGTTACTTTTGTACATTTTCTTCTTTAGAAAAGACTAGAAACTCTGGAGCAACACTAGACACATCAGTGAGCCTGAAACATCGTATTCCGTGTAAGTAAGTCTCATGTAAATATTGGACTTCACCTAATGTAAAATTAAAACCAATCTGAATTCTTTAAGGCAGACGTTGATAAAAGTCAACAAGTGGTGAGGAACACAAGTTGTACTGTGACACTTTGGTAGAGACAAGTTGTAGAGAATGGAGATTACAGGTAACCCTGACAAAACATTGACTGATATAAAGGATGATATAAAAGGAAAATCCTGAGACGTTATTTTATTTGATTGCCTGACACTGTGCTAGACAGTGGCACACAGAAACAAGTAGAAATTGCATACTCCACAAGAGAATAAAAGTCAAACTAATCATAATAACAGCAACTGAGCATGACAGACATTACAGACATAGGTTAATGTAACAGCAGTGTCACAGAATGACAGATGCCAACAAGCACCAGAGTGCCTTGATATAAATTACACAGGAGAGTCAAATTCAGATGCAGAAACGGAAAACCTACAGAAATGAAAAGCATGGGGAAGTATCAGACAAGAGAAAGAAAACATGGTGAAAAGTGGCCAAAAGCTTCAAAAAGGAAGGAGATGCACATTAATGTACTAAGTGAGGAAAATCCTGGGGTGTAGTTTCTTGGTATGACAGTATTTACTTCAAATCTTCCCAAAGGGAAGAAGCAGTAAGGTATTTTTCAGATGGTTAAGTTTACTTGAACTATGCAACTACTACTTCAAGGCAACAATATAACCCCCACTGCTCCTGACTTTAGAGCAAAATTGTAAGCTCCAAACACAAAAGTAAATGTCTTCATCATCTAACTGGAGGAAAACACCAGCAAACAGAAGCGATTTTTTATCCATCTACTATATGATAATTTATGAGTAATGCAATAAAATAGAGCAGAAATTATTTTTTATAATTGCCCTATTCAAGGATCTGTAACATTTAAGAAAATATGATGACAATTTTTGCATGACTGGGTAATGTTTCTGAACTCTAGTGAATTATGCAAACAGAAAAACACACCTGGTACAAACAGGCTGCCGTTCCAAGAAAAAATGCAATAACATAGCTGAAATCTTCACCTTCATTCTGTAAGAATAAAACAAAAAGCCATGGTTTATAATGTTTCAGTTAAATACCTGATATTTATAGTATGGAAGTTATTAATTATTATATGTTAAAACACGTTAATACATTGATTTATAATAATTCCTACACTATGTGAAACCAAGAGTTAGGACTAATCAGTGCTTGCTTTTATGTCTGGGAAAAAAACCACCATGATCTGGAGTCTGACCAAAAGACCGACTCACAACAGACAACTAATGCAGAAATTTTCAAAAACCTTAAATGAAGTCCAGCTCTAAAGCTGGATACTCACCTTCTCCAGATGCCTTTGAAAACTCAAGTCTAAACACTGGTAACTAGCTTTGATATCAACTCTGGAGAATTGTGCCTTCCTCCTGCCTCTCAAAATGGAAACGAGGTAAAAGGAAAAAAACCCGAAGTGGCCACTAGGGTGGAGTAACACTCTACTCAGAGAACAACGCAGGCAATGACAGCAAACGGCAGCACAGGAATTTATCAGAGAGACTATTGGAAAATTAAGTTTTCTTGAAGGAAAAGATGGAAAAATTTACTTGAAGTGACAGCTCTTTCTACTATCCGTTTAAAAAACCAAACAAATCCTTCTAACTTATTCAAAAGGGTTGTTATAGTTTCTATAGAGCTGAGCAGAATAAATTTACATGCTCTTTGACTATTCCAACTGCATTTCCAACAAACATCTGCAACAATCAAAAACTTTCCCAGGAAAACAAAGGGTACTCATGCAAATGTTCTCCCTTGAGAGTGAATATCATTCTGAGAAGAAGGTGGTCCATTCACAAGTACAATTGTGTGTCTGCTCAGAGTATGTTCAGTGTGGAACATTTCCATCTCCAGTGCTGACTAGAAAAAACTTTGTATATCTGCACATAAGAATCACCTACAAAAGGCAGTAACTTTACACTGTGTGTATGTCTTTGCCTCCATGTCACTGCATACTTGCTGGGGTACAGCTACAGATTGTAGCAGTTCCACTGACACCCAAATAAAACCAATGATTATAAATGAAACAGTAATTCAGAGAGATGCTTTGGAATGACTTCTCAGAACACATTCAATTAATCATGCTTTGGATTATTTCTCCCTAAACTCCGTGGCTTTTCCCATAATAAAGTAAATCAAGAAAAATTTTAATGGATTTTTAGTGTGCCTCATTTGTCAGAAATGAAAATTATCTTCCATCTGTGCTGCCATCTATTACCTCCAGCTGCAATAGCATATAGAATAAAATTAACTGGCTGCCCTGGCATCACTTAAATAGGTTAATCTAACATTGGCATTCCTTTATAAAAAAAATCAGCTGTGGAAAGCAACAAAATAAGTTCTAGAAACATCACAGCAAGTGGTAGAAATCCGTTCAGTACTATTTGTACTATAGCATACTTTGAATTCATTCCTCTTTATAAACTGAGAGAATTGTACATAACACAAAAAAAATCTAATTAGGGATAAACTAGAGGTATTTGTTCACTATTTCTTCCTTGGTCTTTCTTTAAAGAAAAAAAAAAAAAAAACCAAAAACAACTCAAAAAGAAGGACCTAGCACAGAACACTTTCTTTAACCTTATTCATCTATCCATTAGTCTTCAGGAAATTCTGACACCTCAAACCTTACTGCTTATTAAGTCTTTACACAGACCAAGAGATAATTTTGAAAAGGTGAAAGGCTTAGAGACCAAGACTTGCGAGGAGCAGCTGATGAAACTGGGAGTTTTTTTAGCTGGCAGAAAAGGAGGCTCAGGAGAGAACTTATCACTCTCTGCAACTACCTGACAGGAGGCTGCAGCAAGGTGGGTGTCAGTCTCTTCTCCCAGGTAACAGGGGATGGGATGAGACGAAATGGCCTCAAGTTGCATCAGGGGAGGTTTAGATGATATTTGAAAAATTTCTTCACTGAAAGGGCTGTCAAGCACTGGAACAGGCTGCCCAGGGAAGTGGCTGAATCACCACTCCTGGAAGAATTCAAAAGTCGTGTAGATGTGGCACTCTGAGATACGGGTTTAGTGGTGAACTCAGCAGTGCTGGGTTAATGGCTGGACTCAGCTCTTTTCCAACCTAAATGACTCTATGATTCTGTACAGTCTATAAAGGTACATGTTTGAATAAAAGGATTATCTATTAGCCAAGCTAGAGGATTACCATTTTTTTTTTCAGAAAAATTCCATGGGCTTTTTAGTTTCTATGTCTACCACCACAACAGACCCATTAAATGGCACAGAAGTCCTTTTTCTTGAGGTAACACACATGAACTTTGTGTGCATCCCTGAAAGCACTACCAGCATATTTCACCTGAATTGCTTAAACTCATAAACCACTGTTAGTGACGTTGTAGCAGTGAGAATACAAACAGCACAAGAAATGGAATAGAAAGAAACTGAAAGGCTACAGGGAAGGTCAGAGCAGAGAGTTTACAGGAAAAAAAATGGGTTTTGGGGAGGCTGTTTGGTGAGGGGGATGTTGTTGTTTAAGGAGGTGAGTTTAGAAGAAATCACTTGAAAGTTTTCCCTGACATTGATCTTTTCAGCACACGAACAGAAATAAGCATCCTAGTTAAGATGGTTAATTAAATAAATACAAACAAAACAAACCAAAATGTTTACAGAAAAAAAAATTTACAAAACCTGTTCAAAGGTGCAGGCTCTGTGGACTTTAAAAAAAAGAAAAAAAAGAAAAAAAAACTGGCCAGATTTTCAAAGCTGTTCATCATTTCACTCAAATGCTTTTAAATAGCATCTATAGAAATTAAACGCCTCATACCCTGGCATAAATTTAGAAAACAGAACATTATGTTCACATACTCACTGCTACCAAGGTACCAGGGAAGGAGTTGGCCACCCACTTTCTACTGCTGTTGAAACTCAGAGCCTCAATGAATGAGGCACCACACTCAAAAAGGATGCTCTGGTCACAAACAATACAGGTTTCATGAACAGAGGCCTGACCTCACAAATACTGTTTCTGAAAATAAAACTGGCAAGACTTAGTTCACATAGCATCTTCTAGGGTGATAGTTATGATTGCTGTGGTGCATAACTTTTAAACTCACAAAATGTACAATACCTGGAGAAGGCTTTCTATGGCATGAAAGCCACGAATTAAATTCAAAGCTCCACACAACAGACTAAGCACAAATGAGACAATCCCTGGCAGAGTCACAGGTTCCAGACGCTGATGAGGAGCTGCAAAGCAGAAGATCAAAAAAAAGATATCAAAGGTCAAAGCAATGCCTTTAGAAATTCAGTAAAAGAGTAATCTCATTTTTCTGTGACTTCTAGCTCAAGGGATCACCAATGCAAACCACAAAATGTCAAGTTTTTTTCTAAAAAGAAGAAGAAACGTTTTAAATATTTCAGCACAAGGTTTAACAAAAAGTAAACTTTCCTTCAGTTCACATATATAATTGTCTTTTTATATTTAGTCTTATTTCAATACGTTCCATTTATTCAGTATGGTACTGACAGCTGCTCAAACATGCCAGGAAATCAACAGTAAAAGATGCACTCACTAGTGAAATCCATCCACAATTAGTAACCAGCTAGTAAGTCACGTACTTGAGAGCTTCTCTCACAACCTGCACTCTTTAACACGAATGCATCAGTGAGATATTGAGACTGATTCAGTTCGTTTGCTGAACAGAACACTTTGAGGCAAAGCTATCACAGTCCCTTCCCTTAAAAAATATGGCCAACTGAGTGCTACAGAAGACAGAAAAAGCTCTGAAACTAAACCAGTATCTATATTTCAACCTTACACAGACCTTCCAGATAGTGCTTACAAGTCTCTTACAAACCACATTAAAATTCAAACAGCCTTTCTTTCCAAGCACACCCACTCCTCCAGGCTTATCTAGGGTCACAAGTATGTAACAGTTGTGTATGTTCCTCATTACTGTCCCTTTCCATAATTAATAACAGAAAGCAAATGTGAAAAAACAATGCAAAACTCTTAATAGTCTGGGCGACACTGGGAAAACAATGTGACTGCTGAGCTGTACTCAAATTGTTCTGTTCAAATCAACCAAGTGTAAAGATGTGAACAATGAGGTTAATGAACTGTAACATTAATAGAGAGAGGGGTGTCAATCCTGGTTGTTTGCATTGCACAGACTCAGGAAAAAGGTTTTTCAAACAGTTTATGAAGTTACAGAACCTAAAGAAAAAAAACCAACAAAAGTTATTTCACATTGATAAGCAGGCAGGGCTGTATAATTATGAGTGTACAATAACACAAAAATAAAACACAGGACGAGTTCAGTTAATTCATTTGTGCTGAATTTAATAGTGTAATCAGTTGGAGGCTTTTTAAACAAAAGCATAACCCATGTTTAACTTTGAGAGCTCGTTGCTTTTCTAACTGTAGGGCACATTACTCCCAGCAATCACTCAGTTAAGGTTAGATATGCTATTTGCATACCAAACCACTCTTTTTCAATGACTCCTAACTGGTTGTTTTGTTTTGGCTTTTTTAAACCATCTCATCTAGAGTGGCAAAAAACTGAGGGTGTATGTGACTGTTTTTAGCCAAAAGTAATTCCGTTTCACTAACTGATGGATAAAATTAGTTCACTGCTCTCTACTCACAGTTCTCCCTCCAGACAATCTCATTTTCCCCGTGTCCTGGGTAACTTAAAACCATTGTGTGTTAAAAGAGTACTTAAAACACCTCTTTGAGAACCCTGAGAGGGAAAGTAGAGTCTCGTCAGCTAAATCAAGATGGTCTATGAGGGATCACACATTACTATTTTTTCTTTCTTATTAAAACATGAAAACAAATCCAAAAAACGTGAAGGACATCGCATACCACTACTGATGTCAATAAACTCTCCAGGGCTTAACAGATTCTAGTGTTACAATCAAAGTGACAAGAGTCATTTATACACTAAAAGATGAAGGCAAAACTAAAAGAATGAAGAATGGATATAAGAGAATGCAGGGTAAAGGGCAGCTGGCTTTTAGTTGGTATATCAATCTAGAAATATGATAAGTGCCATTTCAAAAATCCTCGATTGAGATAAAGCACAAATTCTGAATTTAATGCTGGCATTTAAAAAGAAAAATTCAGAAAATTTACACAATATGAGAAACTGCACTACTTGTAAGGATGTTCATTTAAAACTAAAATGTCCAAAAAAACCCAAAAACATGAAGTATGCCATCAGGCAAAAAATAATTTCGATTTGACAACTGTTCCTTCATTGAAAAAAAGCTCAAATAATAACTTTATCCTAACCTAAAACATCACACATCAGCATGCTGTCACCCTATTTCTAATGCCTGCCAACACCTACATTCACCTCTGAAGCAAAATTCCATCTATCATCTGAGCACTTTATGCTTCACACATCCATAATTACCCCTATTTCTCACTACACAGCACAACTTTCTCTGAAGGAGAAGGACTGCTATTTTCAATTACTTTCACAACACAGGAGGCCTGGGCACTACACTGTGGCTACAGAAGCAATTACAGTCCAAGTGACAGCCAATGCTTCCCAGCACTGGCCAAAACTAATGCATCCAACTCTGCCCTTCTGCATAACAAAACAAAGTTTGCCTCCACCCAACTCCCCACCTCTGCACGCTCTCCAACCTGATTTAACATACTTGATGCACTTATAGCAAGTCTTAGTTTTTAACTGGACAGCATATTTAGGAAATTACACTAGGCAAACCATATCTTATTGTGACAATTTGTCCTTAGAGCAAAGGAGAAACTCTGAAGTCTAGCCAACTGAGTGGGCAGCAAACATCCAGAGAAAGTTCTTTTCAAGGGTGGAGAGAAGTGATGAATGTAAAGGATTACAAAACTATTAGCAGACTTGCTAAAATAGACACTGTTATTCAATGCCATCTAAAATGTGAAGAGCTGAAGAAGGAGCAAAGTGCAAACCTCTCATAATGCACAGCTCTTTGATGGTGAGTTTCTACAGCAACTCAAGGAAGGAAGTGGAAAACTGAACAGAGATCTGTGGAATTCACAGGAAGAAGAAAGTTTAAAGTAACTCAAAAAGAAACAGAAGAAAGTCAATATGGAAAGAAAAGAGGACAACAGAACTGTTTCTGTAAGAAGTTTGGGAGAGGTAGGTGAAAAAAATTAGAAGGTTACCTGTCAATTACTGTTACAGTAAAAAGGGAAATGGTCCCTATGCATTTCAATTAGGCCCATATGATCTTCCAGCACTTTTGCTCAAAAAGGTGATAAAAAACTCATCTCCCACTACATGACCAACTTTTAAAAAAACATCCAAATCTGACACAGGCTGAGTTCTCTCACGCTTATTGCTTTTTCTTCTCCCAGCTGCAGCAAGTTCGAATATGGACAATCAGTTGCCACTTCTGCCACCATAATCCCCAGGGCAAGATTACACCAGAGCAGTAAGATTAAACCACAATACAAGCATCAAAAGTGGTTAAAGGATGGTATCACAGCATTACACCTTTAAAAACAACCCACATAGGTAAGTAGGAGATGATTAAAGGTCTGCACAGTACTGCTTAGAAGATTCCACTCTTTTACACAATTTAAACATCTTTACACTTTTTCTTTCTAGATTCTTTTCCAGAATCTAACCCTAATACTGTTGAACTGCAAATACAGAGATTGTAAGCTATTTCTACACTGTCTCGTAGCACCTGGAATTCTCAGCATCGGGGCCCCAGAGTGCAAATAGGGCACCCCAGTGATTTTGTTTGGTTTTCATTTCAGTAGAAAGCAGTTTTCAATCTTCTAGAGTAATCCTTACGAGTAAGTACGTAATAAAGATAATGCACTGGCAAAAAGATCCTATTAACACATACGTATATATAAACTGCACAAAATTAAGCTAATCTCTTTCATTACAAAACTGTAGGAAGTATTTAGATTTATGATTGCAATTCTAGGATTTATGATTGCCCCCTGACACTGTACAGTATCAGGCAGTGTATGCCTGCCCAGGATACCTTACAGACAGAGGAAATCTGGGTGGGGGAGGGGAAGAGAAAGATATTAACTAATTAAAATCAACACTTCCTTCCATTCTATTTATGATTTTGCTTCACTGAACTTGGAAGACTGATATCAGATGATGTCAGGTTCACATGTGGAGTCCACATATTAGTGCAAGGATCTGGCAAGTTTTTAAGTTTTTGTCCTGCTGAGAAACATCTGAAGGTTGGCCTCAAACTCATTCAGTGCGTTCACTTAACAGCACAAACCTTTAACCCAGGCCAACCACACAACTCCGTATTTACCTCCAACGTGAACCAAATTAAAGTTTAAAAAATTAATGACTACTTATATGAATGTGTCCATTTTATACAAAATTGCAATTCTTAACACAGTACACAAGGCACCCATTTTAGCGAGTGCATCTTTTAGCCAGCACAGCCCTTTGGATTTTCACCACGGCAGATGCTTCCTAAAGTGATGCTCCTCCCTCCAGCTGCTCCAACTCCTGACACTATGCTCTCAGCTTATGCCATCACTGAGTCTCACTGGGAAGAAATAATAAAAATTTTCAAAAATCTCGAAAGGTCAGAAAAAGAAAGATCATCTTCTTGTTAAGATCTCATCTTCATTTGCAGTATTTTTTTCCCCCCAATAAAGCACTCCACTGAACAGACCCATTTCTCCCTCTGAGTGCCTTGGGAAGATGTGCACTTTGAGCAGGGGACAATGCAGACATCTAAGCTAAAATGCACATAAGGTCATGGCAGCTTTATGCTTTACAGCCACAAAAAAGCTTTTTTTTTTTTATTTTTAGAAAAGAAAAAAAAAAAGAATTCTTCCACTCTGTCTCATTTAAGGATACAAAACCAAAAGTCTGGAACTTACCTGCAGATATCTTACCAGTGCCCTTATACTCCCCCACAGACACATGTGCAAAGCCATTCGCTGAGCCAAGTTCTGACACAGAAATTTGGTAGGGTGGTCTCAGTTTGATCTCTGTCTGCATATCAGCAAGATTCATCTTTGTTGATAAAGAACGTGTGTTATTGTATCTCTGTTTGGTCCTCTGAATGAAATTATCTGTGTAAAATTTAAAATAAAAAGGTGTATTTTTGTTAAATAATCCAAGACTTTTGTTAAATAATCCAAGATCATGCAGCTCTGTGTACTGCACACTTCACAAATTGAAACATATTCTTTGAAATGTTTGCATTTCTCTTGAATTTTTAACACTATTTCTGGTTTTTGCCCTAATACCTCATGGGTTATTTAATTCTGCAATTAAAAAAAATCTAACCTCTAGAAATCTAATTACTTAATAAGTGTGAATAAACTAATGACTTTTCACTGCATGAGACAATGCATTTCTAGTACAATGGGTTTACTGCATTTATTCCAGCTTTTCTGCTAGTTTACTAAATAACCTTATGAAAAAATTAACTCTGGCACTCAAGTGTGAATGTACTTGAGTATGAAACATGCATGCAAAATATTCAGAAGGAGAAAAAAAAATACATATTTAAGCTGTAATAGAGTTAAATTCTAACTTAATAACTAGTAGAACAAAGGCATTGGGGGAAAAAAGTGTTCATAGAAATTTCCACAAGGAAGACAATAATGTTATACAGAAATTGTTAATAACTGACTGACTGAATTACAGACAGGAATTAACCAACCGGAATATCTGCCCCCGTATTTCTCAAACTGCTGTTCTTTTTGCTCTGATGTGTTTTATAAAAGTATCTAAAATAACTGCCTAATATATAGCATTAAAGCAACATAAATTAATGGAATTTGTAACAACTCTTATCTAGTATATATGAGATGAGCTACATTTGGAGTTTTCATGACAGGAGATTAAATGCTTCACTACATCATAAGATAAATAAAAATGTTTCCTTTCACGTACTGAACAAAAGTTACAGCACAGCTAAGAGCAAACATGGAACTCCAATCTTTTACTTGAGAAATTTATGAAGCTCTCTGACTTCATAGGTTAAGTATTTCAACAGGTGTGAAGTCAAACAACTCCTAGTATTATTAACTAGGAGAAGATAAAATCCAGAGTTGGTCACAGAAGGTTCAAATCAAAACCTACTGGAATGAACAGAAAGATTACGAAGAGTTTGGATAAAACTCTAATAAGCCTAATTTAACGCCCAACTGAAGAGTTGATTCTAACAGGAGTTAATTCAGATTCTAAATCTGCCTAAAATACAGCTATAAACTGCCTTGGACATTTTTGTTTCATGTGCATTAAGTTGCACATCTATTTAAATACTCATTTGTCTTAGTGTGAGAATAAAGGAGGAAAAAAAGTCAGATCCTTACCAAACTCTATAAAACAGTATGGTCTGATTGCAGTATTTGTCTTCATCATATTGTAGGTAGTGATGAACTCTTTCTGAAGCTCATCCAGGAAGCAGAAAGCCAGGACACTGGGATAATTTTCAGTGCACAACATCATGTAGCTTACTCCCAGGGAACTTATAAAGCTAGAATTCAGAAAACATATTTCACATTTCAAATTTAAATCCAGTGAATTAGCTGCTTCTCTGGTCTGATCTAATATTCTACAATCAGAAAAACAAAACTTTATCTGGGGTAGCAAAGGAATTAATGTTTACTGAAAACTCCAACACTATTCTGGAAGAAAAATTTACTTTTAGGTTATGTTCTTCTTTGACACCACACTGTACAATCTTATGAGAGGCTGTATTACACATATATGTGTATGTATGTGTGTGTGCATACATATATACACACCTCCATGAAACAGAAAACAACAAAGCTTCTGGGATACAGAAACACAGCGAGTTTGTCTCGTAATAGCTTTTCACTCATCTCAGTTTTCAATATACATATTCCCTGCTGCATTTAGGCAATTCATTAGAGTTCAGGTTTTCATGGCATATATTAATTTCTTCAAAGTCTTGGTGGATAACATACACTGTTAAAAGTAATCAAAGACAAAAATAATAAAAACTATCCTGACTAAGCCTTATATCTCATTCTTAGAAGTTTCTTTTAAGCTAATCAGTTCACAAGCCAACTACAGCTGAGGTCTTTAAAAAAAAAAATTACTAGAACAATTTAGTCCATCCTGGGCCTAATCCCAAGAAATGCTGGAAACTCACATATCCCAATGGGAGATGGAAAGGGCTGAGCACTTTCTAGGATCATTCAGGTGGTATACTTCCCACCACTGTAACTTCCACATGGTTACTATGGCTTAGGATGAAATTATTCACCTGATTAAAAGTGGAACATGTAATCAGAATTTAGCTCAGCTGAAGTGCAAGTGAACTACCAACTACACACAGGTGCACCTTGTTACCAACACTAAGGAGAAGGATCACATACAAAGCAAAAATCTGAGTAAACAACAGATTCAAAGAATTATTTCACAATAATCCAGGTTTCACACTGTGAAATAATTATGGAGTTATGTTTGGTTTTTAGCACATGTTTCTCTGAATCCAACAGAAAGCCTGAAGGTACAACAAGAGCGTCTAATGTAAACATCCTAATGAGATATTACAGAACTACCGGTTATGAAAGTATTCAGGTACCTTTTAAAAGTGGTCGACTGAAAAAAGAAAACAAATGAGTACTAGCTGAAGTAGCAAGACCACAAAAGTCTGGTCATTTTCATGTAAGAATCAACCTTGAAACTAAAAGAAATACTTATACTAGGTAAAGGACTTCAATATTTATAAAAACACTGTCTATTTCAAACTACAATCATAGAATTATTTGTTTGGAAGGGATCTTAAAGATCCAACTTTCGCTAGACCAGGTTGCTTAAAGCCCCATCCAGCCTGGTCTTGAACATTTCCAGGGATGGAGCATCCACAGCTTCTCAGGGCAACCTGTGCCAGCACCTCACCACCCTCACAATAAAGAAATTCTCCCTAATATCTAATCCAAACCTGCCCTCTTTCAGTTTAAAGCCACTCTCCCATGTCCTATCACTACACACCCTTGCAAAAGAACTTCCACCAAAATTTAAGTAGTCTTCAAGTCTTTCTGCAGTTTCTTAATTTTAAATTTCTGATAACGTAAATACTGCCAATAATTTATCTTAATTGGATTAAGCATTTCCAAGGTGAACTCTTAACATTTTAACTAACAGACAGACACAACACAGGATGTTGCAAATACATAAAAGAGAAGCCTTACTTTATATTATACTGTCCAGTTTTCAGGGTACACCTATCAGGCAGCTGAGAAAGTTTCTTTGCGAGCATTTTAAAATACTTTCTACATTCTTGCATTCCCGTGCTCTGCTCATAATCAGTGGATGCAGACAGTGGGAGCCCATCCCTCACACGGACCACAGAGGCAGACAAGATCATAGACATTGCCAACAGAGTTAACGACAACCTACAACAAAACACAGATCAGGGGCAATCAGAATTAAGGTAAAAGCAGAAACAACGGAGTCAACTGCGATCAATCAAACTTCCCAAGCTGTGTACTGGGTTCAGGCTTCAAACAAGGCACAGTAAGGATTTTCAACTATAACTCCAATCTGAGTCCTAACTGAGCAGGACCTATTAGTCTACACGAACCACAGAGCAGTTCTTCAAACCTTACATTAAACAAAACATTCAAAAGTTCAGCAAGACAAGCATTAAAGGAAGGATTATTTATCTGCTAAGTATCAGTACACAAGTGGGCGAACTGCTAGAATTTATATGAAGCCAAAAGCAAACACTTCCTCAGCTCTTAACACTGCTCTGCAGACTCCTACCATGTACTGCACCTATCACTTCAGAGACTATGTAAAAATATTTTTGCCTCCCTCGGCTGATGGTACCCAAGTTCCATACAGTCACAAACTGCAAAAGGAAACAGATTTCTGAATACAGCTGAAATATGCTTTTGTGTGCAATCCTGACATGTTTACAGCACCTTTCACACTATGACGTTAAGGGTGCTTTACAAGCCTCAGAGACTGAAGGACTGTATTCTCAAAAGTCAGGAACCCAAATTTTCCCCAAATAACACTGCCTCTTCATAAAAAGAGATGGAACAGCTATTTTTTCCCTGAACTCTCACCATCTCTATTTCCCACTACCCAAAGGTTACATAGGACATTTAATGAATAATCAACAATATTCAGGTTTTTCAAGGTTATTTACTCTTCAGAGATAAAGAGGCATATAATAATGAAAGCACTGAAAATGTGTTGTCATTTTCAGTGTAAGAAATTCAGCTTCATCAGCTTCATCAACTTCAACCTCCTTTGAGATGCATCATATTAGCTGAATAAATTCCAAATTAATACCCTCTTATTTTACTGGAACAGCATATCAGACTTTCCCCAAAGTCATAAAAGCAGTGGAAGCCGCTGTTGCCTGTAGTCTGCTGAATACCTCTGGGCTTTTATCAGGTGCACTTGTTATTTCAGCACTTCACAAGAGAATTCCCTCCTGTACCGAGTGCTTTGATCATCTGGACACAAAAACAATAAACAACCCCAACTTCAGGACTTGCTCTAGATCAGCCTGCTGGCACAAAGCATTCAAGAAGCTAAACACACAGTTCTAGAAACTTTTCCCTATCTCTGAGTTCATGCACGTACTCCCAGAAGGACAATTCACACGGAATGCACACAGATCCATTTTCTTAACTATGCTGCTCCCCACATAACCAAGGCAGCAGCTCAAGAGCAGGACAAAATTGCAGAGGAGCTTTAAACTGTAATGGTTCTCTGACAATAACCATCTCTACCACTTGGAACTCAATCCTGACAGGGACTTTTGGGAGCTATATCAATATACACAAAAGAACAACGATGTGATAGCCAAGTTTAAATACCCCCTCATTAACTTACCTGTACAAAATGTAATTTCATGGATCTGCATTTCCTCTGATGAAACAAATAACTTTGTTAGCACCTAAAGTGAAGAAAGAAACAAAGCTCCATGTCCTGTTTCAGGAAAAGGTAGTGAATACGACTGCACTGCAGGAGAAACTCTGAATCCTGTAGCCAGCTCTCAGAAGAAAAAATATTGTTCTGTTCACTTTTAAAATTATCTCGATGGTTAAAGTTCATGTTGAGCTATCTGATGAGAGAAGAACAAAAAGAAAAATTAATAAATGAATTTACTGGCTAACAACATTCTTCAGCTTTCTGTGAGGACATACTTATTGGAAATGCCTGAACATATCCAAGGGAGGTTACTCACAAGGTACTCAAAGAAAAAGAAAACTAGAATAACAGAGATATTGTTTCTGCGTTCTTTAAGTGAAGCTCAGGAAGTCCCATCGCTTCAGCCATTTAAAATGGGAAAACATGTTATCTGCCTGCACAGTACACGAGTAAGTCAGGGTAACACAACCTTTGACTCTGATCCCATCATTTACCTCACACTCTATGTGTAATTATTTTGTAATATCCTCTGATCAGGACACTTTGGGAACATAACACAACACAACCACAGCTGTATTTCCAAAGCATTAAGATTTTCAATATTCAACCTTACCATAGATGCTTTGCTCCTACAACTGCTAAGGACAAAGAATATAAATACCACTAACAACAGCATGTATGCACAGAAAACAGACAAAGGATAAAGACATCTTGAGAGGTATTCTTTCAACTTTTATGTCTACTCTATATGTAAATAAATATTTGCATAAATCTAGAACAAAACTTCCTTAAAGACTCCTATTCACATTTAGAGAAATTAGGTTCTCTAACAGGAGATAAGCCTCCATTGAAACCTTAATATATTCTCTTATATACTACAAAATCACATAAGGTAAAAATTGTGTTTAGATGAATGATCTTAAGAACATCAGTCAGCCAGGTTTTGTTACCATCATCTTAAAAACCCACCCAGTGAAAATATGTACTTTTTCCTCGGCTTCCTAACAGCAAAACCAGAAAACTAGCTAAAAAAATGATGCCAATAAAAGAAAATCACTTTGGTTGCAAGATCACACATATGTCAAGAGATGTATAATACACATACTGTAACAGAACATTCAGCCTTACTTGAAAATGTATTAACATAAGAACAAAGTTTACTAAATCTTCAAAATGAAAGAGCTGCTTTACTCAGCTCTCAAAACAGAACAGCTTTACAGGAGTCAAGCGGTAAATCTGATATAGACTTACACAGGTAGAGACTGAAGAACGAACATTAAGGATATGGTAGTGGTTTTAGAACTGCTTTAAGTGTCTTTTTTAAACATTACTCAAAACTGCATGAAGTAATTCACCAAACTGTTACACATTTCATACATTTTCCTCCAAAAATTCTATATGCCTCAACCACCTGAAGATGACAGAAGACTGCATTTCCACTACAAATGGTCTATAAGTCTCTTACAGGTGCAGGGAAACGAAGAGGGATCAGGTTCACGGTCTCATTCCATAACAGAACTGAAGAATGCCAAGTCCAACCAGCAGGTGTTTGGCTCACAGGTACCACACTTCTTCACAAAACATCACCAACCTTGTCACAAGCTGTTGTCAATGCTACAAAGTCATATGAATTCAAGAGGCAACTGGAAAAATCCACAGAAAGACTAGCAGGATTATTAAAACCAAACCACTGCCCTCTGTTCAGCATGACTCTGACCCCAAAACGATCACCAACAGCAAGAGTACACCACGGAAGCATCACTCCATGCTTGCACTGTTCTTATGTTTCCCCTAGTCAGTATCTAATTCTGCCTCATCTTGATTGATTTTCCCTTACGGTGCTTCACAGACCTCCCTGCAAACAAGGACTGGGAGAACTCATGGAAAAGAGGAACATGGAGAAAGCTGGCCACAGACAGGTAAATATCAGCTGAATGGCCATTCCTCTGTTACTCCACCTTCCCAAGAGCTGTCCAACTCCTCGTACACGTCAGCATCCACTGCTTTCACAAAAAAACGATTAGCACGTGTCTGGTTTCATTTTCTCCCATGCACAGGAAACCTCAGATGATGGAAACCAGAGCCTGTTCCACTGTACATTTTGTTCTGAAGATATATTCAATTATATCTTGTTTATTTCTGTGTTATGACTGTACTCAATCCTAAGGCAGCATCTGGAAAAGTTTTAGAAAGTGGCACGTGTTCCAGTCTTTTGTAACTAACTGGTCCTGTTTGTGATCTGACAGTAATTATTTTAGACCGATCTGCCAACATCTCATAACATTTTTTACAGGTGCTAACTATTTTTTACAAGTGACCTGTGACTACAGTTTCCTCAGGATACTCCCATTTTTTAAAGAAGTCTAGCTTCCCAAAGATTGTAAGCAGATCTAATGTAACAGCAAGCCTACCCTCCCGCACCTGCCAGCCTTCAGTATCAACTTAACCAAGGCACTCTTGCCAGGATGCCTGCCTCTCATGACAGCCTTTCATAAACCATAAAATTGGGAAGTGGGTGCAAGCTGCACTCCTGCTTGACACAGAATGAAGATACAGGTTCTGTGCTTGCTTCAAGTGTACGTACGTAATAGTCTCACACAATCTTTTGCCCCTAGTTCTGAGGGTCGTGACAGCTGCATTATGCAGGCAGGAGTCTTTAATTCTTCCACACTACAGCACACTTCAGAAATCCGTGTAACAAAGTAAAGCACTACAGAAGAACACCACAAATAAAGCCACTTCAACACCGTCAGGTACGCAAGGAAATAACCCTAAACGACTAACCCACGGAATCCTTCCCATAGAGGAGAAACAGACCTCAGAAGCAGAACCAAGATCACAGAATCAAATCTGTCGGAAAGGATCATCGAGTCCAACCTAGGACCCAACACCACCGTGTCACCTAAAACTAAACGCCACGTCCAGTCTTTCCTTAAACGCCTCCAGGGATGGTGACTCGCCACCTCCCTGGGCAGCCCATTCCGATGTCTAATCACCCTTTCTGTGAATAAATTCTTCCTGATGCCCAAACAATCCTGAAAAACTAAGGGAACGGAACAAGCCGCATCCCAAAGTTTGGGAACCTGACCCCTCTCATCCACCACCTACTTACGTGGCAGCTCCGACACGACCACTCGCACCCCGCGCCGCCGCGGCAGAGGCGCTGACCCGGCGGTCGGTGCCTCGCACGGGTGCGCACCGCGGAACTTTCACACACCCTGCTGCCGAGCGCGGAGCGGCCCCGCCGCCCCGGCTCCCGCTGCCCGGCGCCTCCCGCGCCCGCCCTGCCCGCCGCCACCACCCCCGCTCCGTGACAGCGGCGCCGCGGTGCCCGGGGCTGAGCCACGAACGCAGCCGGCCCTGAGGCTCGGCGGCCGGGCCTGGGGCCGGCCGCGGCGGGCGGGCAGGCGGGAGGGGAGGGGACAGGAAGGGAGGGGAGGCTGTGCCATGCCGGGCAGTGCCAGCCCCGCGTCCCGCGGTGCCGGAGCCGCCCCTGCCCCTCAGGGCGCGGGGGGCGCGGGCCGTACCTGGGCACGGCGGCTGCGGCGGCTCCCGCCGGGCATTGTGGGAGCGGACACGTCCGCGCGCGCCCCGCCGGCGGCGCAGCGACCCCGCGCGGGGCGGCCCCGCCATGGCGGGCGCGGGGGAGAGGGGCGGGGCCGCCGTGAGGGAGCCCCGCGGGGCCGCCTCGCACTATCCTAATCGGCGCTTAGTTTATCACCGAATCAGTGAGGTTGGAAAAGGCGTCTTGAGTTCGTCGAGTCCCGCCTGGGACTGAGCGCCACCGAGCACCAAATGACGCGCTCAGTCTTGCCTTAAACGCCTTCAGGGATAGGGACTCCCACCACCTCCCTGGGCAGCCCCGTTCCAATGTCTGATCACCCCTTTCTGTGAAGAAATTCCTCCTCGTGTCCAGTCTAAACCTCCCCCGGCGCAGTTTAAGACTAAAAGTCCTCTTATCGTGTCGCTGGTTACCTGTGAGAAGAAGCCAACACCCCCATAGCTGCAGCCTCTTCTCGGGTACTTGTGGAGAGCAATAAGGTCATCCCTGAGCCTCCTCCTCTCCCCGATAATTGGCCTCGCTGTCAGCACAACTGAGGTTTAGGAGCTGTGCTCTTTGGGTTAGTAACTTAGGAAGACTGCAGCTGGCCGGTTGCCACCAGGTTCGATGGACCCACAGAGCCCTTGGCACACGCCTGGCGCTGGGTGAATGACCAGAGGGGTGTGTGGCATTCTCTGACAGGGAATGCTGGAGCGTGTGTCATGGGGATGCAGTAGCCACCAGGAAAAGTGCACTGAAGCAAGACCAGCTGCTAGACTAATTTCTCTCATTTCCAGAGAAATCAACTGGGCATGTTTCGACAACAAATGATAATACAAAAGCAAAAGTTTGCAAATCTCATTACTAATCCTAAAGTGAGGTTCCTATTTTAAAACTGCTTTCCTTACTGATACAAGGATAATTTTCTCCTGGGCTGCTCCTCAACTTCACTGTTTTCCTACCGAATCACACAGTTTTAGTCTGTTGGCTCAAATCTCAAACGAAAGCAGCTTATTTCCTTGCTAACGCCTTTTAATTTCTCCTTCCATCTGTTACTACTCCACTATCCAAGTGCTTGCAGCATTGCAGAGTGTTGGGGTAGAGGTGTAATACACTTTACACTGTGGGCTTTCAGGCTCTGCTGAGCTCCACTCAGGAGCAAGCTGGTCAGAAGGCTGGCACTGATGCTCATTAACACACTCCAACCCCAACTCTGCCTTCCCCAGGCAGCATAAGCAGTATTAAGTGGACAGCTGTGGGAACCCTGGATACCAGTGGGGCATCACCTGAGTCCCAAACCCTGAGACAGTGTCTTTGAATGCCAATGATTCAGGTGTGGTAAAATGTTCTCTTGGATTTTACAACCAGGTCTAAATTGTTACTGCTGGAGATTTATTTCACCCTTTCAGCCTCCAGGCTTTCTCCTCCATGCTTCAAGCAAAGCTCAGCCAAGCTGAGGGCTCGAGCTCCCTGTGTCAAACAAGGCTGCAGCAAGGGGTACAAGGTTAACTATGGCTCTGGAGATGAGTATCAATGGGAGGGAAGACTAACAAAAAGAGAAAAATTGCTCTTAGAGGAGAATTGACACAGGATAACATTGAGGTAGGGCATCAGGAGATGAGTCTGACATGGAGATGTGGGAGAGGAAGACAGGTACAGGTGAACAGAGGGGCCACAGAAGGAGAGGTCACCTGCATGTGGTTGGTGAGGTATTTTTTCTCTGAACACAAAAGCTCAAGGAAAAAGTAATGTCCTGGAGACCATGGGAGAAGAAGACCCCTTTCTTGCACTGAAGGCTGGTTGCTGGGAGGAACTGCCAAGGATGTGCACCACAAACAAGTCTTGCTAAAGCAAGAGATGGAGGATCTGCGTGTCTGAATATACAGCTTGGCATCTCCAAGTTTGTATCTTGGACTGTCAGGAAGAAACTGTGCTCCCTTGTCAGGCTTCTGTAGAGCAGAGCATGGGAACATCTCAATCCTGACTGACTAGGCACAACTGAAGCACACATTTCAGAAGATGATACATTAATCTGAATAATTTCCACAGAGTCCTTATCCTGTATAAACAGAGTGCACAGTATTACAAGCTGCTACACAATTTAACAGCTTATGATAACATCTACTATAATGCAGAGAACTAGTGATTACTTAATTATAGGCTGTCTAAAGGTTTGTGATAAGTGCATATGTGTGTAATTTTAATTTTTCTAGTTCTTCTGAACTGTTTATCTTTCAGCCCTAAAATTCTCTCGACCTTTTGTAAATGTTTTAAGGAAAAAAAGATAAGCATTTTGCATTTACATAAACAGGACTTTGTATATACATCTATATACAAGAATTGTATATACATCTATTAGTTCAGACTTATATATTCCTAGGGGAAGAAAACACATTATTCTTTATTTTCAGGTGAACCTGTCCCCAAAGGCTAAATAAATCCCAAAGGTCACCAAAAAGCTAAATAAATCCCACAAGGTCACCAAGAGAGGCAGTGGCAGTCAGAAGTGGGGTTACAGCTCCAACACTCCCAGCTCTCACGGTGAACTTAAATCACACCTCTTATTCAAGAATTTGCATGGCTAACAAGCCAGTTACACTTTAAATTGCTTTTTTTCCCTTGTCCCGTTCACTCCCCTAAGGCATGGAAGCAGTAAAACATTGTCAGAGGGGCACCGTGCAGTGAATGCATTAGTGAAAGCTGCAGCCAGAGTTAAAACTGAGATTCATAAGAAGCAAATACAGTCAGTGCAAAGAGAAAACAAAGAGAAGGAATGTAAGTGTTACAGAAGGAGAGGAGGCGAGGAAACAAATGTGAGTACAAGGCAGGGTATGGAGAGTGTCAGAGGCTGAAGAGAGGGCTGGATGGGAAGAACTGGTGACAGAGGAGTCTCCACGGCACCAAATGCCTCAGAGATGACAGCAAGGTGCATCTCCATGAGCACAGCAAAATAATGAAGCCACGCAGTTGCTTAGTGTGTCATCAGCCAGCTGAGGGCAAAACCCAAGAGCTAATGCTCAGAGATGAGTTAGGACAGGACTTATCTCACCAAAGTTCAGTGATCTGGAAATTGCCCTCTGTGAAGAAGCTCTCTGTTGCTATTTCTCCTCTGTCACTGCAGGGAACAGACATGTCCAGCCACATGTATACACCTTGGGTTTAGACGACTAAAGGTAGGGAAGACAAACCCTTAGGCCCTGTCCACTGGATTTAAACATGACTTTTAAATCAGGTTTCCCCAAGGAAAAATATCCAGCCTGAGGAGCTGGCAGTAGTTGTGTTCATCAGTGATGGAGTCAGAGGAGCAACACAGGAGTAAATTTCTGAAAGGACACACAGAAGGTCAGAAATTGAACTTCAGGGTTTTTATTGGCAAATTAAGCTGTGGAATATATCAGAGCGCTGATCCACTTTGTAACCTGTTTTTAGAGAGGAAAATAAAAGCCTGATTTAGACTAATTAAACCCAAGTCCTTTCATATACAAAAAAAAATTCAAACCAAAACCACAACCCCCCCCTTCTGTTTACTAGACATCTTTCTCATTCTATTGCTCCTTTTTCTGGACCTTTCTTTTTCTTATAGATTTCTTAAAGTTTAGTGCTTAAAGCTGGACTATTATTCAAACTGGGGCTTTAGCTAAAAAACAGACTTATAATCCATTAGTGTGCTTCCTGTTTCTTGGATAGAAATGCCAATTCCCACAAAAAACCAGGTATGTTGAATCAGTGAACTCATGTTGAGTGCAGTCCAGGTTCATCACGAGTCCTTTACACACCGAATCAGGCTCCTGAAATCATGGCACTGGCTAAAAGCCCATGACTTTCTAACAATTCTGCACTCTAAAAAATTGCATCCAATTTTAGAGGTTTTAGAGAAATCTGTGTCCATAATCACATGAGCTAAGATTATACTCACTGGAATGAGCTGTTCTTGCTAACACAGCGTCAGCAGAAGTGTGAGTAAGGTCATAAAAATCATCAGCAGAATATGCAGTTTATTTCCTTGCTCCTCTTTCAAAAGCCTCCTCCGCTGGTTCAGCCATAGGAGCCTGTGCTGGGCAGCAGTTTCTTTCATGGAACAATAGTATTTAGTTCTCAAGGGCTTTACAAGTCTGAAGCCACCTCGTAATGTTGAAGAAAGTATTTCACTGGTAATAAATGCAGATGTTAGAACGAAATACACTGTTATCCCAATGGCTCTTGTTGCAGCAGGGCCCAGCATGATCTCCTGCATAAAGAACATCCTATTTCTAAAAAGTAATCTTCATGCTGCATCTCAATTAGTTTGAAAAGCAACGTGTATTTAATGCATTTTTATTTACAGGGCCATAAGCATTATGGGCTTATGGAAATAACACAAGTGAGCCTTTCTGATGGTTGTGTCCCAAAGCCATTCCAACAGTAACGGGCTCTCTTTGGGGGCTTTTCCGCTTACTTTATTCCCTCTCCGGTAGAAGCAGCTGATCTGGAAAGCCACATGAATATACTCCTAGTACACATAATCCCTTTAGTTCC